CTCTTCTCGTATTCTTCTATTTTTCTGTCTCTATCTCTTCTATTCGGTACATGTAATCTCGTAGTATAAAAGCCCAGCCCATGTACCTCATACCTAAGTCTTTTTCGAACACGAATCTCTTGCTACTCATCCCTGTGAGAGACTCGAACGTTGAAGACTTTCCGTGGTGTCGCTTATCTAATCAGCGACCTCACATTTTTTTGAGTCGTTTTTTCTATTTCTATTCGTGTTTAACGCAGACGGACTGATCACCCGTTTGTTGTCATAGCGCGCGTAGTCACCGGTGCACTTCTCGTCGACGAACTTATCAACTTCCGGAAATGGTTACAACCAGAACGCGTACGTATGCAGCTGTAGCCAGCTCACCTCGGACTCCCAACAGGCGCACACTCCTGGAGGAAGCGGCCGAGCTTGGTGCGGCCTTGGGCTCCAGCCCGAAGGACACCCCATCAGCAAATAACACCACGGTGTATTCAGGTCTCGGTGAGTTACCGATTGGATCTCAGCCTGCGGTTGATCTCGAAGCTTTTAGACCCCCAGCTCCTCCTCGATTCTCACCCGAGCACATGGAGGAAGCCACGCACCTCGAGTTAGGAGGGTTGCGCAGGTCTGGAGGGCGGGTTATTGCGCCGACAGTGCCGGTAGCCCCGACGCTCGAGCGGTCGAGCTCTTCGGAGGTCGCACACAGTCTCGCGTCAACGGAATCGTCTGGCTTGTCCAGCGTTTCGAGCGTCTCATCGGAGCCGGAAGCTTCGGATGAGGATCGGGGCACTCAAATCCCCGATCTGATTCCAGCTGACCACCCGATTGAGGTTAATTCCCCGGCTGTAATGCCGATGGGTCCAAGCTCGAGTGACCACTCGCTTGAAGACCGTGCATCCCACGCCTCAGATCATAGCGCGCACGAGGACATCAGGGAAAACCCCCCGGGATGATCAGACAGAATCTCCTCTTTTCAGTTCCAATTACATCTGATTGCTGGGAATCAGACCAATTATAACGTTAGTTCTAATTAGACAGCCAACGCTGGCCTCCCGACACTTTATATCTAATTAGTAATGATTACAGCAGCATAATGTGTTATAAGAGGCCATTTATCAGTAGTTTCCAATGGATTAGGCTTCAGACATCTACAGGTATCATGATGCAGTAAAATATGTATTCTTCTTATCTATGAACAAAGGTCCAGTCTACATATGCATCTACAGTATCCTTACAATTGGCCTTGACCAAACAACACCTCACTGACACACGTCCACCATGAGCTCTCGGGCATACCAACGGGCACATGCAGCCGCAATGACGGCAGAAGGTGTGGTTACGGATGCAACCTACATTACCATGTTGATTCTGCATCAGTGAAGGCCTGGATGGTCCTATCCTCGTCCTCCATCTCCACGAACCGCTGCCCGAGCATCCCCACCGGGCTCGCCTCACCCTTTGCCTCCTCGAACACCACCTTCGCCCGTGGGCCCACGACGGGGCTCGTCTGCCCCGGCCTGGGCAGGTGCACCACCAGCCCGCGCTCGCCCACTGCCGTGCGGTTCAAGAAGAGTTTCACCGCCGCGGCGCAGTCCGCGGCCGCCTTGAGCGCGCCCATCGCCGACCTGAGCAGCGCGGCCTTCTCCTCCTCCTCGCTCATGGCGCTCGCACTCGTGAGCATGCACACCGCGTCCGCGAGGGCCGTCGTCATGCTGTACAGCCCCTCGCGTGCGCCGCGCAGCTTCGCGGGACGGCAGCGCGTGTGCCGGAGCGCATCGAGCACTTGCACTGCCGGCGTCGGGCCACTTGGGAATTCCAGCATCGGGGGTGTCCTGATCAACTGAGAGGAGGAAGAGGAAGACGTGGATGAGATACTGCTGATCGAGGACTGACCTCCGCGGTGCCCATGTTCTGAAGCACGCCTCGTCTGTCCCGGTCGCGCCGTGCCTCTTAGCGATGGTACGGGCGGTGCATCGCACCCACCCACGCCCTGCCTGGGCGTGCGCAGGTCGCCCATACTCCTCACCGCGCGGGGCGTCGCCGTCGCCTCTCTCTGGCGCATCTGCGGTCTATGCACAACCCCAATCGTCGTGCTTGCCGGCTTACCCCTATCCTCCGACTCGTCGCCCTCGGACAGCAAGCTCTGGTCCAATGCCGAACTTCTTCTGTCAGGTATGGGCACCCCGCACTGGGCCGCGACGGCCAGGAAACGGTGGCAGTGCACGAAGAGGTGCCCCGCGAGCTTGAGCATCGACTCCGTCTTGCCCTCGGCCCGCTCCTCGTTGTCCGTCTCCTCGCCCGCCTTCTTGGTCTGCACGACAAGTGCTGCGAGCATCGCCAGCACCTGCGGCGCACTCCTGAGTGAGCAGCGGGTGTCTCAGCATGGCTATACATAGATATAGACAAATACTATACATTACCTGGGAAAAAGACCCATTGCAAGTGCCTAGAAAGATCATTCCTCAGCATCAGGGACACTCAACTTTCCATCCCAACACACAGCACTCACCTGAACTCTGATTAAACAAGGAGCAATATCATACTCAAAGACACTCGAGCTACAAAGATCATGGTAAGCATGACAACCACACTTGGAGGATACCAAAAGATTCACGAGGCAGACAGGGGCTAGGAGGGAGCATGATTCGGCATTCAGTCACATCCCCGATGCACCAGCAAACACAACAAACAGGACCCTTGAAGGAGGAATTGACCCGCTGATAAAGACTACATTACTCACCAATTGCAGTACAACCGTTGTGGGTGCCAACGTGGGAGACGCCGATGACCACCGAGACCAGCCGATGCGAGCCAAACTCCCCCTCAGAACCATATACAGCCACTCCTGAAAGCGGCTACTTATCCTAGAAGTCGGTGGGATGCATCTTTGTTGACGAGGGGAAGGTGAGACCGTGAGGAAGAAGTGAAGTGTTCGGACGCGAGACTCGCGTCCGAACACTTCGTCGCGAGTTTGTAAATTGAAGCGGAGCTGTAAAACGCGGGTTCAACACAGTCACGTGCTAGACGCGCGCCCCACGATTCGGATGCATCATGCACGGACTCGAGCGCGACTGCGTCTTTGAATTTAAGTAACAGTTTCTATGCTTGTCTGACTCTAAGGCTCTATTGTTGACATATTTCTTCATCCACCCGACGCCCTTGCAAGTGCTGCTGTGGTACCTGAACATGCAGTAAGCCAAGTCGGCGGTGCGGACACACTTCCGTCGTCTCGCATGCGGCACCAACTTGGCACGTACCATTCAATCTCTTTGCTTCTCCAGCCCAATTGAACTTAAAAATTGTATCTGAGTAAGAGCACATAACAACTAATTATTGATACTGCATATAATTTAGACAGGTTATGTTGATTATCTCCATCATACACCCTTCGACAAGATTAGTGCTTAATTATATCTGATTCGCGCCGGAGGTTTTTCCTGATGGATCGAAGCACAGGTGACACAGACCGGCAAGTCATGATTGACTCCGGGCCAAAGGGCATTAAATCCGAGGATGCCCTTGTAAATGGATTTAGTGTACCTAAACGTACAGTACATAGTCGTCCTAGAACCAGTAATGGGAATTTAAATACTACTCGAAAGTATTTTGGGGACTGGTTTGAATTGTCAGAGTCAGACGAAGATACGTTCGGAGACATACCCTCGGACTGGACGCAACCCCATGACGAGCCGTCTGAGGACACCATTGACTTACGACCAGTGCTCTGGCGCCCTCCACAACCTCAGCGGGAGGGCGTGAAATCTATGGCTGTCATTGTAGAAGTTGAGCCACAATTCAATGCGGACGAATTTGAAAATACTTCTCGAATGTACTCACCGAGAGACAAGGGAAAGGGTGTTGACGCAAACGAGCGTAGCGCAGCATTCCGCGAGTTCTTACGGGATTACGAAG